CATTATAATATTACAACTTGGCCGTGATTAGTCAGCCTGATACGAGTTCACGAACAACAAAATACTCAAGAAAAAAACCCACACTCGGGGGAAAAGAGATTGTTATAAGCAGAGCTACTAAGAAAAAATACAATGTATTCTCTACAGTGGTTGTACTACGAGAGTGGGGTATAGACATGGAAATTATTTCAATCAATAGAAAAATGAAAATTCAAGTTTGACGACAGTAGTGTCTTCTCTATGTACATTAGATAGGTAGAAAAAAATGAACTGGTCTAGGCTTTGCTGCTGCTGCTGGTCTGTGCTCAAGAGACGAATCAGGAAACTAATCATCTACACACTCACATAATGTACACAAACTACTAACACAGTCATCACCATAACTCAAGCGAGGACAGGGTACAGGTAGGGTCACGGACAAGCTGCTCAAGCAGGGACACCAAAATGGCATTCTCATGATGCCGTGAAAGCCATAGTGTACGCAACACAGCATGAGACTGAACAGCTCTGACAAACCTTTTCAAACAATCATCATCATACTGGAAACCACACCTCCGTGCATCCAGCTCACACAGGTTAGGGCATGACTCAACAACTTCACTAACACATGACAGAGGGACAACACGTACACCTACACCATAGGCATAGTAAGTGGGTGGGTCGGACACATCGCCTAAACTCAGCTTAGAACAGCAACAACGCGTCGCAGACCAGCATTCCCACAGCCAGAGCCAGAGAAATCAATGGTACTGCTATCAAAGCAATAATGTGTGCTGAGAAAGTGCCCAATAGATACACAATCAAAAAGAGATAGCCGTACCCTCGAAAACCAAAGGCCTTTGTGAAACACTTGTGAAAAGAATGAACAATGACCATCACAGGACGCACCTTGATACTGGCAGTGTTCATGATGAGCCACCAGAAGATGAACCAGATAGCGCCGTTCCTTGGTCGACTTCGCTGGACGAACTGCAGGCATAGCAGTAGCAGTAGCGTCCTCAGAGGATGACGGGACCGGTATCTTGGCGAGTGGACGCATCATACGCTCGCATTGCAATGCTGTTACGGGATTGACGTTGCGCACAGCAGTGAGGAATACTTCCGTGTTGGGATCCACTGCCTCCTTCTTCCACACGTCGATTAGAGTTGACAGAAATAGTTCATCCGTCAACTCTCTCCCCCGTGGCAAGGCGCTCTCGACACGTTGGCAGCCGCTGCCCTCGCCGCACGTCTCCTCCAGCAGCTTGTCGGCCAGTTCTTTCATTTTCCCATACGTTAGCGTTGCACAAAGCATGGACTGCATCCTTTCAAGACCCGGTCGTGCAGTCTTGCGATGGGAGTAGCTGACAATGTCAGCCACAAGACGAGAGTCGGCAGTGTCCGATGTCGACGATGTACGCTCCTCACAGATTAGCCGCCAGAGATGCTCCATGACGACAAACGAGGGTTTGCGCGGTAACAGTGTAACAACGAAGCGCCAGAACATTGTCATGTGACCACTGTAATGACCGACTCTCTTCACCAGCCATGCCGCGTCATGCTCGTCCTTCAGCACTTCGCGTGACAGATACCATGCCGACATGAACTCCTGTAGGGACAGGTGAGCGAAGCGGTACTGTCGGTTATCAGTCGAGGTGCCGTCTTTGTAAGCTAACAGGAGTCCAAGCTGAAGAGCGGCATCACTTAGACCGGCGCTTTTCACTTCCGACTCGCTGAACACGGCCTTTTGCTCCGACAACATTGCAAGTGCAAAGCGGGAGACCTCGTACAGCAACTCCATCTCCCGTGCATCCGTCTCGGCAAACGACTTGTGCAATTTGCCTGCATTCCGCTCCAAGACGCGTAGAAGTAGCGACTCGTACAACGCTGTGCTCGATTTCGCCAAGCCACGTCCGCTGTGGTACAGCTCACATGCCAGAGCAGCAAATAATGGAGTTCCCATCAATGCTAGCATGTCCGGCTGTGCATGCAGCTTCTCCAGCATCTCCTCCGCTTGTTTTCCGCCCACCACTTTTCTCACGTACGTCTTCACGTTCTCTTGTGAGAATCCGATAACCTCCAGTTGTTGATGGTACTTTCCACATTGGCTTAACTTGTACGCATCGGCGCATGGTCGAGATGTGACCACCACATGCATATCAACACTGCGTTCCCTCAACAGCATGTCTTGCATGTACGGGCTACATTTCTGCAGGCTGCATTCGTCCATGCCGTCAAGCACAACACAGAGACGTGACCGATGACGGCGAAAGTAGCGAGCTATCTCCTCCAGCTCATCTTGTTCCATGTCCAACCTGTCGAATCGAGCAGCCAGCAACTCACACAGGTTAGTTGCAGATCGCACCTCAGCACGTCGTAACTCAACAGCCAAGACAAGATCAATCTTCTCCTTCAACAGCGAATCTATAGCCCACAGGTATTCCAGCATTAGAAGGAAGATTGTAGATTTGCCACTGCCCGCACTGCCAAACGCAAGCACGTTATTCTTTTTCACTCCAATGGACACGTTGCTAGCTGCACGAGACAGAAGTCCACATTCGGAATCAACTACTCCGCTGGCGCCTGTTTGGCCCTTTGCACTATCGCTACCCATGTCAGAGAAGATCTCGCTAAGCTCAATGCCACGTGTCTTTGCGGACTTTCCATCCTGAGCTGCTCTGATAGCATTTAGCTGGCGTGCTCTCTCAGATTCGGAGGAAAAGAACGACTCGCTCTTGAAAAGCGTTTCTACTTCATCCTTCGTCAGCAGAGTAAGATTGACAAAGAGCTCGCTCAAAGCTATTTCCCTATCTGTTCCTAAACCTCCGCTGATCTGCACACCACGATCCTTGACCGCATCACGCAATCGTGTCTGCGCCTTTAGGAGAGACGCTGGTAATTTGCGATCCTCCGCCATCGTCAAACCTCAAAGACAAAGGATTCGAGTATCGAGCGTGTGTTCATTATCTACATCACAGCCGAGTCATAATCGATCACTTGTCAGCTAAAATAAATAATTATTATTTGCGCCCAAGGCGTGCAGACTAGAGCTAGCGCTAGCGACTGCATGAGTCATTCATTCATTCCCACCTCTTTCTAGTGCGATGTGCAAACAAGACGACTAAAGCCTGGTTCACACTAGGCCGATTTTCCGGCCGACATGGACTCGTACGAAAAATCCTCAAGATCGGGGCGAAAATTGCGTAGTGTGAACGGTGTTGTCGTACAGGGTTCCGACAAATCTGCGACGATTTTCTTGTCGCACTAGTTTTCGGCCAAGTATCGACTGGTCGATATTTAGCCGAAAAGCCGGCCGAATTTTAGCGCTTGCGCGTGATGGAGCATGCACCGGACCAATCACTGTAGGCTTTTCACCATGACAGCGGAGAGCGTTGGTGCAGACTGTGAACCATGTGAACTGGCTGCACTGGATCGCTACTACAGTACTAGTAGCACTGTACTAGACGCTAGCCCTTTCACACCTTTGCCGCTTTGGCTTTGTGGCTCGTGTAAAAACTATCTCATTTCCGCTGTCTAGCTAGCTAGCTAGCGTCTACTAGTACTACGGTCTAGTGGCAGTGCGGCTGTGTACCGCGTGTCCGTGTGTAACAGACAAGCCTACATGTACAACTAAAGTACAAACGAAATTGCCCACCTTTGTGTGTGAACAGCTAGTCCGACTCATCCGACACAGTCGGCAGACTCCGTGTCGGAGTCGGTGTCGGAGTATCGGCCGGAAAATCGGCCTAGTGTGAACCAGGCTTAAGTCTACCGCCGTACTGGGGCGTCGGAAGGCATTTCAGGGTGGTACGGTCAGCCATCTGAGGTATGCTTGCTCGAGGCGGAGGGAGGGGGGTTTCTGCTGAACATTTTGAAATTTTAGAGCCCCACATCAGGGCATTCTATTGATTCGTGGGGTACCTGCAGCCAATAGCGGTACGGTCAATACTTCGCGTACTAGTGACCCTAGCGTACATGTGACGTGAGACAGTTGCGTAATCTTCCAGTCTGTAAATTCTGCAAAAGCAGCCTTTGCAACTACACTGTACTTACACAGTTACTGTCTACACGTCACGTGACATGTACATGGACAACGCTGTCTGTATGTCTGACGACGGCTGCCGACTCGTGTCGAGTCCGAAAATTCTGTAGTCGATAATTTATCACTAGTCTAGTGTGAAATTTTGGGGGCGTCAGACACGCTAGGGTCACTACGCGAAGTATTGACCGTACCACTATTGGCTGCAGGTATAAAAGCTATAAAAGTAATCATTTCAGGAGGGGATGGTGGTTGGGGTTTGGGATGGCCAGAATTTAAGATTTGTTATCCGGCTTGTTTCTCCTTCCACATTGAGAAACAACAAGAATCCAGCCACCAGCTCAAGGGTATAAGACTAATCAGTCTGTTTATAGGGGATGGTGCTGGTCGGGGTTGGGGATAGCTTTTCTTCAAAATGCAATCGAGTTTGCAAAGTCGTCAAAAACAGAAATCAGCAAGCAACAAGAAGAACCTACTTGCTGATTTCTTTTCTTGATGGCTTCACAAACACATGCATGCTCAACAAAGCTGGCGCACTCACGCCCCCGTACCCACGTAGGAAGAAAAACACATCAACACACAAAGCAGCATGTTGACACAGAGCACCAACACACACACACACACACACACACACACACACACGCACGCACATACTCACACACACGCACACACACACACACACACACACGCACATACACACACACACGCCATACTGTACTACTGGGAGGAGTATTGCTGCCGAGACTGACTCAGATATCTAGGTTGTCATGGTGATAAGAACCTGGATCTCAAGCATTCATGATCAAGTTGATGTTGCTAATCTCAGAACCACTCTTTCTCGCATGAAAAGTGCCACACACGCACATACTCACATTCTCCTTCACACACACACTCACACTCTTTCACGTGCGCGCGCGCACACACACACACACACCTTGAACCTTGAACGTGCCCATTGCCGATGGCAATGATAGCGAAGGGACTATCCGCTAGCTTTGCAGTACGGAGCGTGGCGCTTGAGGTCCCCGGGACGACGGCAGACCTTTCCACATGCGCAGCGGAAGCCAGAGTCAGGATCAGGAGGAGCACGGGCGGGAGGACGACGATGAGCGATCCGCCTCCAGACAGAGCGATCCTGGGCAGCATCAAACCAGCAGTCAGAAGGCACAGGGGGGCTGATGGAGCGGAGATCATCCACGATGACGTCACGCCACCGCTTGCGTGGACCATGGCGAGGGCGTGTTGCAGGGAGCTCCCCAAACAAAACTCGCTTCGGCATGCGGTCGTCGTTCATCCGGCCAACATGGCCAAGCCAACGCAGTCGATATTCCCGGATGATGTCCGCGACGTCACAGTCAATGCCGAGGGTTCGGGCCATGGTAACCGAGGTGACGCGGTTGTCCCACTGGTCCCGCCTGGATACGCCAACGATGATGCGAACACACTGGTGATGAAAGGTGTTGAGAGAGCGCAGGTCCGGTGCCTTCGGCGTCCACGGCAAGTGGTGATATTGTAGCACCTTTCCCTGCATGGGTCTTGGCACTCAGGCTGCTAGTGCTACTGTTCGCACCCTAGGCCCTGCACTGCTGTACCTCTGGGGCCTTGCACATAACACATTCACATGTCACCTTTCAAGCCGCCTTTGCAGCCAGCTTCCCTTTAAAAGCCATTGCGTTTTACTGATGATTCATTCTCATCTTTCGAAGAGTTGGTCTGCCTTGAGCAGGACACAACATGGCGCAGCGAAAGACACGAACCTCTGTCAAGGCCAAGGCTGAGGAAGCAGCAGCAATCAACGACGGGTTGACAGAGCGGATGCAGCGAGGAACTCAAGAAGAAGGAAGCCTGCTGCAGTCTATCGTCCAATCCCTCAGCCAGCAGCAGCAGATTCTGCTTAGGCTCACAATGGCGCAGTCAAGCCAGCCTGCCGGCAGCGGCCCGCCACCATCCACCTCAAGACGGCCAGAGGTAGGGCCGTGGGCCCGGAGAGCGGAAATACCCCACCTGCCCAGTCCAGACTCGATAGACCTAGCTGGTTTCCTCGAGTGGAAAGTCAAGTGGTCTGACTACGTGTCGTTGACTGGGCTATGCAGAGACGCAGGTACAGTTACACAGCAAGCAGTTCTCCGTACAGCTCTCAATGATGGTTGGGTGCGGCTGTGGCAGGCGGGCGTAGTTCCCATAGCCGACGGCGATGATGAGCGGGTTGCCATCCAGAAGCTGGAAGCTTTCCTGAGAAAGCGAAGAAACCCGTTGCTGGACCGCAAGGCCTTCCATGGCAGGAGCCAGAGACAAGGTGAGAGTATCAGCCAGTACTTCTCGGGTCTCTCTCAACTGCATGATGCGTGCAGCTACCCAGATAGTCTGCAGTGCGGCAGATGTGGGTCACTGTGCGGCCATGAGGCCCAACTTCGGGAAACCCGGCTCCGCGACAGGCTCGTCTGTGGCCTAAGGGATCGAGCGATGCAACGACGGGTGCTCGAAGAAGAGTATGCCAGTGAGTTATCGCTCGATCGGGTCATGCAGATATGCTCTGCATACGAATCCTCTACCGATACGGAATCTGGCCTCGGTGAGCAGCTGCCCGACCTGGCGTTGGCGGCGGCAACGAAGTCCACTTACAAGCGTCAGCAGGCGCAGGCAAAGACGCTGAAGTCGGACGTAGGCACGTGCAGGTTTTGTGGGGAGACTCACCCCAAGGGCCAATGCAAGGCCTATAACCAGACATGCCGCTTGTGCCTCAAGGTGGGTCACTTTGCTAGGGTTTGTCGACAGCGGACCTCGCCCTCACCAGGAACGACGTCTGTCGACTCGCTGTTTGTCAACCAAGCTGGTCCTTCTAGGAACAAGCTGGTGACGGTTGGCGTCGCGATCCAGGGAGGATCGTCATGCGCTATCGGGTGGCTGCCGGACACGGGCGCGGATGTGGACGCCATCAGTCTTACCGACCTGGATGGCATCGACCCAAGCCTCAGGATGAATCTAGTGCCGGACACAGCTGATGTCAAGGCAGCTAACGGTACAGCTTTGGATTCCATGGGCAAGCTCGAGGCTCAGTTGTCTTTGAGCGACACTACCGCCGTGTCGACCCTGCACGTATTCCGGCAGCTGAAGACACCTCTGCTCAGCAAGGACACGTGCATGAAGTTGCGGCTTCTCGAGGATGGATGGCCTCACTCCCGTCTAAGGGTACAAAGCGTGGCAAACATCTCCATCCCTCGGAAGCAAGCATCCGAAGTCGCAGACACGTCAGTAGGTACTGCGTCGACGGCGGCTGAGGAAATCCGACGTACCTTGCTGGAAGAGTTTCCAGAAGTGTTCTGTGATACCCCGCTCAAGCCCATGAGCGGTGAGCCGATGCGCATCGAGCTCATCAATGGCGCGTCGCCATGCCGCCTGTATCGCGCTCGCTCCATCCCATTCAGGTGGCGGGACGCTGTGCAGAACCAGCTGTCCGACATGGTGGGCAAGGGCGTCATTGAGAAGGTGCCTATCGGCGAAGCATACACTTGGTGCCACCCACTGGTGGTGGTCCCTAAGAAGAATTCCAGTGAGCCGCGCATCACGGTGGACCTGACGGGTCTAAATAAATGGGTCAAGAGGCCGGCATACCCAACCCGAGTACCTCAGGAAGTCGTCGCGTCGATCCCAATGGGGATGCAGTACTTCACCACCCTAGATTCTCGCCATGGCTACTGGCAGGTACCCCTCGACGACGATAGCACCAGGCTCACAACGTTCATGACGCCATGGGGTGCCTACCGTTTCAAGCGGAACGTCATGGGCTTGGTGTCGGCAGGTGACGAACACAACCGGAGAGGAGACGAAGTGTTCGCCGGGTTTTCGAATCTTCAGAAAGTGGTAGAGGATGTCATCGTGTACGACACTGAGCTTGAGGCGCACACCCAGAGGGTTCGCAATGTGCTCAAGCTTTGCTCGGAGAACCAAATCACACTGAACCGCCGCAAATTCGTCTTTGCGGCACCCAGAGCATCGTACTGCGGATTCGTGGTGACGCCGGACGGCTACAGTCCTGATCGAAGCTTGGTGGAGGATCTACACAACTTTCCAATCCCTACCAACCGCACTGACATCCGATCCTTCTGTGGACTCGTGCAGCAGTTCGACGCGTTCACGCCGCGACTAGCGGAGCTTCTATCCCCGATCCGCTCTCTGCTCTCTCCAAAGAATGAGTTTATCTGGGAGGATCAGCAGCAGCAGGCATTTACAGCTATACTAGAGGAGCTGGTAAGCCCTCGAGTGTTGGCTACCTTCGACCCTGCACAGCCGCTTCGTCTCGAGACAGACGCCTCGCAGTCAAACGGTCTCGGCATGGCACTGTGGCAGCAGCAAGTGAACGGGCGGTGGCGTCTAGTGCAATGTGCTTCACGGCACGTCACTGAGACCGAGGCCAGGTACTCTGCAACGGAGATTGAACTGCTGGCGGTAGTCTGGGCAGTCCACAAGGCTAGACTGTTCCTGGCCGGTGCTGATTTCGAGCTGCTAGTCGATCACAAGCCGCTCATTCCTATCCTGAATGCTAAGACGCTGGATGAGTTGACGTCTCCACGAATCGTGCGACTACGGGAGAAGCTGACGCCTTTTCGGTTCGTGGCTCAGTGGAGACCGGGTGCCGATCACAAGGTCGCAGATTGCCTGTCGAGACACCCAGTAAGTGCACCAGACCCTGACGATGAAGCTGGTGAGGAAGAAATCGAGCACTGCTACTGCGTTCTCCGTCAGCTGTCGCAAGAGGACGAGGAAACAGGCCATACAGTCCTCCCCGACCTTGGCATTACGAAGGTGCGGGCGGAGGGCTCGACGGACCCGGAATACCTCAAGCTGCTGAACGCCGAACGGCTTTCCGGTGGACAAGGCTGCTCTGGACCTCGATCTGCACCCGTACTGGCAGGTTCGGCATGACCTGTCGGTCGAGGACGGCATAGTGTTGTTGGGCCACCGTATTGTCGTTCCCAGAAGGTTACGCCAGACCACGCTGGAGCAACTTCACGCTTCTCATCAGGGACAGACCCGCACACTCCGTAGGGCCAGGCAAGCAGTGTACTGGCCCCAGATCTCCAATGACGTTAAGAACGTCGTCCAGACTTGCAGATCCTGCATCACGCTGCTCCCCTCCCAACCTTCTGAGCCGCTCTTCTCTGACAGTCGTCCGTCCAGACCGTTCGAAGATGCAGCGGCGGACCTCTTCTCCCTAGGCGGCTTTGAGTACCTGGTTCTCACCGACAAGTTTTCCGGCTGGCCATTTGTTGGGCGTTGTGGGAGGTCGGCTACCACGTCTGACGTCACCAAACATCTGGTTCAGTGGATGTCGGACGTTGGCGTTCCTACGCGCCTCACGACGGACGGTGGGCCGCAATTCAGATCTTCAGCGTTCGCTTCGTTCTGCTCAGAGTGGAACATTTGCCACGACCCCAGCAGCCCGTACAATCCTCAGTCAAATGGCGCGGCTGAGGCGGCGGTCAAGGCCATGAAGCACTTATTAATGAAAATTGGCAAAGGTGACGCCTATAACAGCAGTGCCTTCAGAGAAGGGTTGCTGGAGTGGCGTAACACGCTTGGTGCAGGAGGAGCAAGCCCGGCCCAGCTGCTGTTTGGAAGGCCAACGAGGACCAAGGTTCCCACACTTCCTGCAAATCTGCAGCAGTACGCTGCCCACAGCCGCAGTGCTCCCCAGCAGGTCTCATCCCAGCTTGGCAAACCTCTGCCCCCTCTGCACGTAGGCGATAAGGTATGGATCCAGAACCAGTCTTCAAAACGCTGGGATATGGAAGGAACGGTCACAAAATGCACGAGAAGAGGACGGAGCTACACAGTGCAGACAGTGACGGGGTCCAGCTTCTGGCGGAACAGACGGTTCCTCCGGCCACGTGCATAGATTGACTGGGCATGCTTCTCTTGCTTTTTCCTTGTTGCTTGTGCGCTACGCTGTGATTTTAGAATTTCAGTTTCAGGATTTACATGGTGTTAGTGCTCCCAAGTCGCACTTAAGCCGAGGGGGCATGTGGTGATATTGTAGCACCTTTCCCTGCATGGGTCTTGGCACTCAGGCTGCTAGTGCTACTGTTCGCACCCTAGGCCCTGCACTGCTGTACCTCTGGCGCCTTGCACATAACACATTCACATGTCACCTTTCAAGCCGCCTTTGCAGCCAGCTTCCCTTTAAAAGCCATTGCGTTTTACTGATGATTCATTCTCATCTTTCGAAGAGTTGGTCTGCCTTGAGCAGGACACAACATCACACACACACACACACACACACGCACACACACACACACATACACGCCCACACATACACACACACACACACACACACACACACCATGTACCATATACACCTGTTGCAAGAGAAACACATAAATCTGCAAATGAACATGATGTACGTGCACCCACAGATTTTTTCTTCACAATAGATACACGATCTAAATGAGACAGATCACGGCAAGTGGCAGACGACTGCCTAATCCGCTACACAACTGGCAAAGCCATTTGAATTGACCTGTAATGCACACCTGGTCTACACCACGCGGAGCACATCGGCATAAAATGGCCGAGGTAGTTACGTCCTATGCACACCATACACTTGCTGTTGCAACCCGTAAAGACAGCGCACTTCTTTAATACAGCCATGTGTAACATGTGTGTTTGTACTAAAACAATACAATACTCACTATTCGTATTTCCCACTCCTTCACCATAGCAACGAGATCACATCAAGTACAAAAGAGTGCAGCATGCTCCAGTGGTTCTCTAGTCCCTGTCTCTCTCGTCCCCTTTCTCTAAATCTGTCTGTTTTCTACTTCTTAAATATTCAATACTTCTGAAACTAGAACACCCTGTGTTCTAAGTACGAGTGTGAGGAGACTACATATTTAGCAAGGAGCTAACACTGGTGGCAGCGGTGGGGTTCGAACCCATGCCTCCGGAAAGTTGGACCGTCAGGCAGCGTGATGTCCGGCGGCTGGAGTCCTTTCATCTGCAGCAATGTGTGCGTTCCATTCTGAAGGTGAATCGTGGCCGGAAGTTAGATGAGCGCATCTCCTCTCTCCGGGTTCGTAGGATGTCGGACGATCTGAAGGAGGTAGCAAATAAAATCAAAGTCCGCAAACACATACACACACCAACACACACCAACACATACACACACCAACACACACCAACACACACACACACACACACACACACACACACACATACACACACACACACACACACACACACCGACACACACACATACGGACAAACACGCACTCACACACACACCGACAAACATACACACATACGGACAAACACACACCATACACACACACACACACACCTTGGGCCTTGGACGCGCTACCATATTCTGTCCATGCGGACCCCATGGGGGGTTGAGCAGGTTCGGAACAGTAGGGGTAATGACGGGATAGGTCCTGTGGTCTACTGAAACGCCGACCGCAATTGCAAACGATGCAGAAGGAGCTACGGTCTGTGTTGGTTGCTCTGGCCGAGCCACGGCTGCACTTGTGACGCTTCATGCCTTGGTGCAATAACACACAGCGGTTGCAGCGGGTGCAGTGGAAGCTGCAGCGTTCGCAGGACATATTGTTCGTAACCGGTGACTCAAGTGTGTGGGAAGATGCCTCTGCTGGTGATGTTGCTGGCGGGCACTTGTGTCGGGTAAATCCACTCTTACTCCGGAACCATCTGTCGCACTGGTCGCAGTAACAACTTCCTGGCTGTTGACTTAATGGGTAGACACACACATACACACACACACACACACACACACACACACACACACACACACACACATATATATACACACACACACACACACGGACAAACACGCACTCACACACACACACACACCGACAAAGACACACACACACACACGCACACACACAAGGCTGGTGTTGAAAGGACAGACGAAAGTACACGAAAACTTGAACATAATGATATCACAAGTCAATAAATAACGACTTCTGGGTCATACTGGATCCCCTCTGACAACAACAGAGTGTAGTGTGTGTATCTAGAGCTCTAAATACCGATTGCTAGCACAGTATTGACGGGTGCCAACGTACGGATAGGCTAGCATTTCACCAAACACAGCATATCAATGCACGATATACACGATGACTCAACTGTATGGTATACGGTATACACGATGACTCAACTGTATGGTATACGGTATACACGATGACTCAACTGTATGGTATACGGTATACACGATGACTCAACTGTATGGTATACGGTATACACGATGACTCAACTGTATGGTATACGGTATACACGATGACTCAACTGTATGGTATACGGTATACACGATGACTCAACTGTATGGTATACGATATACATGATGACTCAACTGTATGGTATACGGTATACACGGTGACTCAACTGTATGGTATACGGTATACACGATGACTCAACTGTATGGTATACGGTATACACGATGACTCAACTGTATGGTATACGGTATACACGATGACTCAACTGTATGGTATACGAATATGACTGGTGTAATATACCCATCTAAACTGATGTGCAAACTGGACATACCAAAATGCAAATGTACTTCGAAGTAGGAGTTTGACATGTTTTGAGTACTAGAAACTGACACGCTTAGGATATCGGGCGTTCAAACAGAGATTATAAAATATGGACGTGATTAGCTGCAGACCAGGCATTCTTCCCTACAGTCAAATTCACTGGAAACTTGCACCTTAACATTTAAAAAGCTCCCGTGGAGACCCGGTAGTAACATTTTAGGTTACATTTTCAATAGATTTAGTACAAATAGAAGTCACGGTCAGCGGAAGGAATCTACTTCAGTACTTCATGCAAGGGCATGGGGCAGCAGGGGCAGTTGTGCGGCACCATGTTCATTCGAGGACATGGGGCAGCACGTACCCACGGCGGTGAGCTGCAATGATGCTAGCTGTTAATGAGCATAAACGCTGCGCTTTAATGCGACACACACACACACACCCGCACACACACACACACACACACACACACACACACACACACACACACAGATGGTAGATTTTTTTGAAAAGTGAGGCACGCGTTTTTCGGGCTCTCCTTTTTTTCCCTTTTTTGCAGCCCAGCCGGCATCAGGCCGGACTGGAAGTAGACTAGATCAGTGATTAGAAATAGAAGTAGAGTAGTGTCGGAAACTTGCCATGCCCGGAGCTACCACGAGAACTAACTCTCGTGTATCAGCCTTGACTGAATCTGAGACGAAAATGTTGGGCTCCCTGCCTAGTATCGAGTCGGATGTATCGGCAGTGCTAAAAAGTCTGGCCGCACTTGTCTCCGAGGCCGCCGATCGCGAGGATCGCCTGAACAATAGGTTCGATGAGCTATCCAGACAAGTATCTGAGCTGAAGGAGGAGGTAGCTTCTCTCAAAGAATCCGCCATTGCCGCGGCGAAAGCTCCTCAGCCATGCCAGCCAGGACGTACTACGAACCCTGACCGTACCCGTACTAGTCCGTGAGCCAAAACTCAAAATCACAAGTGCCGTTGCACTCTCGGATGGACAAATCGCCGCTTACAGTGTTGGTCAAGGACATCACAAAGGATACGTTTTCGCTTGTTGGACGTTCCAGAACCGATCCAGAGACCTTCGCGAGGGCTTCTTTTCTCGACCAAATTCCACCGTGAGAACGAATATTTTTACGCGAGTGGTGAGGTGTGCGTCGTATGAGCAAGCGCAAAACACGAGTTCGCGTAGAGTGAGGAAAAAATAATTTATTTTTAGAAGATGACGACGTTGACGACAATATCGACTTGGGATATTGTGATCACTTTATTGAAGTTTATTCCTTTCGTGTACATTGATGTTGTTTTGACAACAATGGAAGAAGAGGAAGACGTTTCTAGTGGCAGCGAGGTGCTGGATGAGGCAGCTGACGGCAACGAAGTGGCAAATGACAGCCCAGCGGAGTAATATTGCTGGAATTTTGTGTCTGTGTCACAGCGCCCAATTTAGTAAAAACGAGAAGCCTGCAGTGAGTAATATCGAGACTACAAGTTGGTGTCGCATCGTCAGTGCTGCTCGAGAGAAGGACGACCATATCTGGGCTTTTCTCTGCCAGCACAAGAGCTCAGGGAGGAGTAAATGGTGTGGCTGGTATCATGAAAAGTGCTACACCAATTGCACCCATGTGATAGCAATTGCAAACCTGGAGAAGACCAGTGCCTCTGATTTTGCTTTGTCTATACTTGCTGACAGTGATGTGCATGTAGTAGTGAACCCAGAGCCACATCCTAAGGCCAGTAAGGGGCCACCTACCAGGAGCTTAGTGGTTGATACGAACAACGAATGCCATACCGGTGAAAGCAGAGCACGGTGTAAACACAACACGGAGAACTGGTCCACCCAGAGTTTCCGGAAAGGAATGTTTTGTTGCAGGCAGCACTGGAGAGGGCAAGACGACAAGTAGCGAGGGCGAAACCAGCGCTGCTGGAGGTCCAAGCCAGAGCACCTGGCTGCTTTGCGGGCAACATACTACTGTATACCATTAGCTGTGTATGTGTGTGTGCGCGCGTGCATGTGTGCGCGTGTTTGGGCGCGTGCATGTGTGTGTGTGCGCGTGCGTGTGCATGCGCGTGCATGTGTGTGTGCGCGCGCGTGCATATGTGTGTGCGAGTGTGCATGTGTGTGCGAGTGTGCATGTGTGTGCGAGCGTGCATGTGTGCGCGCGCACGTGCATGTGCGTGCTAGGCGTTTTCCTTTGTTGGTGACACCACCCCAGGCTACTACTGGTGTTGGGGCACGGTGTTGCCACAGCCACTGCGGCCAGTGCGATCCGTGTTTCAGGTCGTTGGTGGGTTTTAGATTCCGCAATTGTCGACAAGGTGTGCGCCGTGTGTGTGTGTGTGTGTGTGTGTGTGTGTGAAACCCGACAGCATTGGTGTGATGTTGTCCGAAGGGACATCCATCACTTACATCTTGAAGGATATTGGTTCGACACTGCACAGCAGCGAGGAGAGTGGCGCACAGCATTCAGAATTGCTTCACCACCACAGCCGGCCTCCCGTGATCGGATTCAGTGTAGTATTTGTAACATTTCCTTTTCGAAGAGCGGCCTGCCATGCCACAAGTGTACTCAAGAGCGTCGCAAACCTGTAGCAGACCAGTCTGGCAGCAGCCAATGCACCGTATGTCTTCGCTGGTTTCGCAGTCATGGCAGACTGACATAGTCGGATTCGGCAGCTGGTTCATGTGTGTGTGTGCGCACGCACGCGCGTGCCTGGGAGACTGCATAGTCGCATTCGGCAGCTGGTTCATGTGTGTGTGCGGGCACACACGCGTGCGCATAAGCGTGTTTGTGCGCACGTGCCTGGGAGACTGCATAGTCGGATTCGGCAGCTGGTTCATGTGTGTGTGTGTGCGCGCACGCGCGCGCGTGTTTGTGTGGATTCGGCAGCTGGTTCATGTGTGTGTGTGCGAGCGTGCATGCCTAGGAGACTGTATAGTTGGATTCGGCAGCTGGTTCGTGTGTGTGCGCGTGCCTGGGAGACTGCATAGTCGGATTATTCAGCTGCTTCAAGTGTGTGTGTGTGTGTGCGCACGCGTGTGGGTGCGCCGCGGCATGCATGCATGTATGTATGTGACATCATGTTATATCGGTAGTTATCTGTGGATTACTATGTTCTGCGGTGGACTGCGACAGCACACATTATGTGCCAAGATGTGCACCTGGTGATTTGCAACTGTGTTATGTTGAGTTGAAAATGAGCAATGACAGATAGCTTTTGGTGCTGTATGAGTGTGTTAGGAAATCAATAGCCAATTCCAACCTCTTGCATTGGCCGTCAGGTTGGATAGGATCAGCGCGTGCATTTACAACAGTGTGGTGACGTACTTCCTATTGTACTACTGTAATGTCACATTAGCTTCAGTGTTCATATAATAATAATACTGGAGTATTCTACGTATTCACTACTATTCAGTAATCGAGTGGTTATTACTTTTGAAATATACTTCACTCACCAATTCATTGCTCGCTATTATCTACAAGTTCCAGTCCAGTATGATGAAGTAAAGAGGCGATTTATCCAGCCAAGTAGAGGAACTTGGGATACGAAATCCAAGAGAAATCATGAGGGTTTTCTCAGTTCGGCCATTCACGAATGTAATTGTTATTCTTCAACGCAAACTGAGTAATATTTTACCTTGAACAGGATGAAAAGAAGTTCATGCTCGGGGCAGTCGTCATTTGCTCCAGAAGGTTACTCACTACAGTCTACGCCTATTGGCCTAGGAAGTCGTGAACAAATATGTCGAGAGATATTTAGGACATTCTTGGAAGTCAGTTCTGAACGATTGCATTGTAACTACAAACAGTACTCAGTAGTGACTTTGCTGCATGCAGTTTGCATCCCGATTCATAATTCTCAGCGGCAAAAAAATTCGAATCTAGTTTTGTGCACTGGTTTCCGCGTTATGTGCACTCGTGGTATCTGCTCATGGCTTCAAAAAATGAGAATCCGTGAACAAGCGCAAAAATATCAAGCGAAGAAGGCGAAAATGGCCGCTGCTGTCAGTGAGCAAAGTTGGATGTTTGGCGTCTTCTGTGACCTCCCTGGATCAGTTTCGAACTGTCCAACAAGTGGAAATCGCTTCAGGATACCATCGTGAAGCGGTGTGCCGAAGGACGATTTGTCCCTCTCTGGGTGCAACGGTCGATGCTAAAACAGCCGATTCTGAGATTTGGCTCACGGACTATACTGACCCCCGCACAGCCTGCAGGCAGTGTAGCATGAGTGCGAGTACGAGCAGATCTACCAGCTACAGCAGCGCGCTGAACCAAGGTCCAGTATCCGATGCGCCCCGTACTGAAAATGATGCTCGCCCAGCAGCCAGCCCTGGCCACAATGTGGACAGCGTGAGCGAGAGTGACGCGGATGACGGTTTTCAGCAGCCACGGAGACGAAAGCGCAACAAGAGCACAAAGGTGTTGCAGCCCATCTCCGACGATGCATGGAAACTAATTGCAGATGAGCCCCACAGAGCGAAGAGAGCTGTCGTATATGTTGGTAACCTCAGCAGGGAGACAACTGAAGACCGGTTACGCGAATTTGTTGATTTGCGTAGCAGGGCCGTCAACTCCGACACACCAGTAGTGCTCCACACCTGTAGCATGCATGTCAATGCTAGCGGCTGCATGTCTGCAAGAGCGTTTGTGGATGCCAGCTCCCTGCATATCCTGCTGGCTGCCAACTTCTGACCAAGGCCACTTTATTGCAGGAGGTGGACCTTCCACACATCCGACACTCACAAGACAGTACCAGGGTCAGCTCAGCCTGGCTGCCCACCAACTGACACGCCAGAGACATCCCCATCCCTGCCCAATCCACTGCAAAGCGCAGGTAGCAACAAAAGCAGCAGCGCAGATACTGCAAGCAACAACAAAAGCAACAGCGCAGATACTGCAAGCAACAACAAAAGCAGCAGCGCAGATACTGCAAGCAACAATGAAAATCCTCCTTACAAATGCTGGTGGAATCATGTCCAAATTTGGAGAGTTTCAACACGCGCTTGTATCCTCCAAAGCTGATATCGCTGTTGTTACTGAAACCAAGATCACCGCAGAGAAATTCTCCCTTCACGAGTCAGCCATCCCAGGGTACTCCGGCCCACTCCGGCGTGACAGGACTGAACATGGTGGTGGCATAGCAATCTGGATACGCAGCCCATTGGCGTACCATCATCTAGATCAGTACGACTCATCTGTTCACGAAGTAACTAGGCTCACAGTGCAGTCTGCCCATCATGGTAAGATAGTGCTGGGTGCTGTATACAGGCCAGGATCCGCCTCAGACACTGATATCTCAACACTTGAGCACCTCAATGGCATCCTGGATAGCGTCAGAAAACACGGCACCCACACCATGCTGGTCGAAGACTTCAATGTCCACAACACGGCTTGGCTCGGCAGCTCTAAGACCACCCGTGCAGGGGAGTACATGGAGGAACTAAGCGCTGCCCACAGCCTCATGCAGCATGTCCAAGAACCAACCCGAGGTCTCAACACCCTGGACTTAGTGCTCTCTGACTTCACTGGTACTGTGACCACCGGTATCTCGCCGCCGATAGGAAGGTCAGACCATTGTGTTGTCCACGCTGTGC